GTAAGGACCTGCTGTAGCACCCAGCGGGCGGCAGGTGCCCACCACGGGCTGGGTGGTGTCTGAAAGGCTTTTGTAAGGAACTGCAGCAGGATGGCCGACGTCTGGTTGGCTACCGGTAGAATACCGAGTCCGCCGAGCTTACGCGGTTTGCAGGCAGTGTCGAACGGGACTTTGGAGCGGCAAGAGTTCCACACAAACTCCCGAACTAATTTGCAAACAGACTGTATAAAGGTAGGTGTGTACGGGACGACGTGCGCGGCGTACCACAGTTTAGCCAGCAAGACAGAGTTCGCGAGGAGGGCCCGGCCCATTAGCGTGATCTTGCGGTCTCGCCATGTGACCAGGGTCTTCTCGATTTTAGCTTTTAATTCGCCTTCAATAAAGTTTCTTGCGATGCCTCTTTCTGTAAAGTGTATGCCCAGATAGCGGACCACGGTCCCTGGGGCTGCAGGCTGGACTGGCAGCTCAAACCGTGGTTCACCAATGCATAACATCTCGGTTTTATCGTCGTTAAGATGGGCGTTGGATGCCTCACCATGTAGCTTCATAGCGCCTTTGAAGATTTCGACGTCGGCTGCCGACGACACCGCCAAGGCAATGTCATCTGCAAATGCGATGGCGCGGAGCGGGTAGCCAGGGAGGGCGATGCCTGTCAGGTGGTCTCGCAGGTAGCAGAGCAGCGGCTCCGTGATCAGATTATACAGCAAGGGTGAGAGTGGGTCACCTTGGCGTAGACCCTGCATAATGCACACTGTCGGCGACGTCATGCCGCTGAACTGTACGAGTGCACTGCTGCCTGTGTATAGAGTTTGGATTATCTTGCGAAACTTGAGGCCAATGCCACAGTGAGTCATGCAGCTATCAAGATACTGCCAGTCTACACGATCGTAAGCCTTGCGCTGGTCCAACAGAAGCAGGGCGCCGGCAAAGCGAGACGGGTCAATGAGACTGCATTGTATAGCGAGGTGGACAGTATGGATATTATCGAAGATCGAGCGCCCTTTTGTGAACCCGGTCTGCTGCTGGTTGATAAGGTGAGGCATTACTTTTTGTAGTCGGGCGGTAAGTACCCGTGTAAGTATCTTGGCATCGCAATTGGACAGCAAGATCGGGCGCCAATTGCCAAGCGAGCGGAGGTCGCCTTTCTTTGCGAGTAGTACGATGTGTGTTGCGAGCCATGACCGAGGCAAGTGGCCAGTTCGCCAGCAGTCGTTGACCAGTTTGGTGAGTACTGGTGTGACTTGCGGCTCAAACTGCTTGTACAGTTCATAGGGCAGGCCGTCAGGACCTGCTGTCTTGTTGTTAGGAGATGTTAATATGGCCTTCGAGATCTCGGCTGGCGATATCGGATTGTCCAGCACTTTCTGCTGATCAGCGGTCAGGCGGGCGGACCAGTGGTCCAGCAGCTGAGTCTGTGCGGCGTCACGTGTAGATCCTTTTGCGAATAAGCGTGAATAGAATGTGTGAATAATCTGGCCCATTTGATCAGGTTCGTCAGTCACCTGACCTGCATCGTCTATAAGCTCGGAGGCGTGAGTGGTGGGGGCGCGGGCTTTCATGACCCTGTAAAAGTATCTTGTTGACCTTTCCCCTTTCTCACTCCACCTTATTCTTGCCCTAATTTGTCTGCCTTTAATGCCGTATTGAATGCACTGTTCGATGCGCTGCCTTATGAGCAACATTTCGTGTGTGCGTCGATCTCTCTCTGGACCTGGCTCTACAGTCGCGACTGCAGTCTCCAGCGCCTCCAGGCGCTGTGTGTCCTCGGATCGTCTCAGGTCGTTCGCCTTAGTTTTTCGAATACCAAAGCTTGTCGCATAGCGCTGTAGCCGGATCTTGTGCCAGTCCCAGGCTTTACACTTCGATTGGACAGTGCGGTAGTCGGCAGCCGGGTCTTCGTGAGCAAGAATGTTCAGGTAAGTCGACTGGAGCTTTTCGTGTGACAGGTAAGTTGTATTTAGCTTCCAGGACGGTCTTTGTGGTCGGTCGTGGATGCCCCATTGGACTGTTATAGATACGGGCCGGTGGTCGGAGCGAGGCGGGTGGTCCAGAGCCACCTGGTCTACCCGATCGAGCAGGTCGGTCGTACTGAGGATATGGTCAATGCGGGATAGTAAGCCGCGCGCATGCCAGGTGAAAAAAGCCTCCGACGGCCGCTTATGTCGGACCACGTTGGTGAGGCTGAGCTTTGAAATGATAGGTGTTAGGTGAGTCCACCGCTGGTCTGTCCCCCCTCTTGGCGGTGACTGGTCCAGCGCTTGGCATGGGGTCGCATTGAGGTCCCCTGCCAAAATAGTGTAATGTGTAAAGTTTAAAGTTGGTAATAGATAATTGGAATAAGCAATAGACTCTTCCCGGTCCGGTGGCATGTATAGCGCATGGACCAGGAGTTTAGCCGGCATATTGGGAGCCGTGATGTATGCTGAGATACACCGGTTCCCCTCTCTGATGATTGGTGTGCCTTCGAAGGCTAGGTTTTTTTTGGGATTTAATAATATTGCAACATGCTCGGTCCACACGGAGTCACATGACCATTTCGGGGCCCAGTGGGAATCGAAGTTGGTCCAGTGTGTCTCTTGCAGTATCGCAATGTCAGTTTGTAAGATATCCATTAGGTAATCCAAGGAGATCGTCCGATTTGCATCGTCACGAAGACCCTGGACGTTCCACGTAGTAATTTTTAATTTCATTCTATTCTTTTAATAAATTAAAAGTGTAGAACCGAATTAATTAGAACTCGCAGTGAGACTAGGAGCCGAACTATCGTCCGACCCGTCGTCATCCACCTGCATGGATTCATACGTGACCCGTGTGTCGCCTGCCGTGTCAACCTTAGTGGTTTGCACCACTGGTTTGACGCGGGTAGGTTTGACTTGGGTATTTTTACCCTTAGCGGGTGTGTTTTCAGAGAGGGGGGATGGATCCATGGCGAGAGGACCCGGGGCGGGTGTCTTGGTGGAAGGGGGGGGGGGGGTGATGACCTCTGTAGTAGGAGGCTTGTTATTGGCGGGTAAAGAGAAATCAAAAGGACCTTCTGGCAGGGGAGGGCAAGAGGGTACTAGAGGGGGGGGTGGCTGTTATTGCCGTGAGGGGGGGGGGGGTGGACAGTAGCGGTGAACTTACCTGTTGTGTCAGCGCTGGAAGTCGCTTGTTTGTTGGCGCTGGCTTGGGCGCGCGTTTGCATGCATGGCTTAGTGGGGGTGGCCGGCTGGGTGGTTGGCGGGCGGGTTGCTGCGTTTAGCGTGTTGCTGTTTTTAGGGTGAGGTGTCTGATTGTTGGGCGTCTGACCCATTGGGAGGATGTTTGCGATGGTTGGCAGTACTGGCTGATTGGCGACTTTCTTGCGCTTAGCCCGAGCCTCGTTCTCGGGGCTGTCTGGTGCTGATTGTTGTCTCAAATGAGCAGCTTGTTGCTGTCTCTCTCGTTTTGTTTGAGGGTGGTCAGGGCACTCTGCTCTGGCGTGTCCCTCTTTCTTGCAGTAGGTGCAGCCTTTGCTCACTCTCTTGCCCACAGCGTGGACAATGTAGTCGTCTGTATGGATTATGCCGTCAATCGTCTTGTCTTCGGCCATTTCGATAACTACTTGAGCAGCGTCTGAGAGGAATGTCCCCTTTTTGTACAGGACAATATCGAGGATACGGCCGTACGACGACATTGCATTGTTGACAATTGTAGCGGCTGTTTTAGCGTCGGCTTCCATCAGGCCGTATAGCGTCACGAACGTAATTTGGGGATTGTATGTTTGGAAGGCGCATTGCTGTAGCGGCTGGCCGCGCATCGATACAGTGGCTGCCTTGAACATGGCATGGTCGTCTTCGTTGGTGAATCGAACAACGGCAAGATTGTCCTTCGGGTACAAGTGCACATGGTTGGAGCCGGTAATGACCACGGGCGTGGCGCTGAATGCCTCGATAAACTCGTTGCGGGTGGTGTTTGGTGGCACCTGGTAGCTGAGGTTCGTATATTCATGCTGGTTAGAGACAATGCGTAGCGGCAGCACCGCTGTCTCATTTGTGCGAGTGATTGTTGCTTCAGGCGTGTTTACGAGGTGAATGGCACTAAAGGCCTTGCCCCTGTCGATACATGGCTTGGTCGGCGCGGTGGCTGATGCGTTTTGGACATTCTGCGATGATCCGCGTTGTCCAGCGTTTGCGGGTAGGTGGCAGCTAGCCACAGTGGCCCAGGATGGACCCTGTGACTCAGGCGCAGCCGTTGACGCGTCAGGAGACGCGTCTGGCGGTGGTCGGTAGGCGCTCATTTCGAATGCCGAAGGCAATGGTTAAACTTTTTTGTTTAATTTAATAAAAGAGTATAAAATTCCTGTGTTCTGATTGGCTCGTTGATTTTTCGGGATGGAGCGGAAGAGAGATCAAACCACTGCCGTGATTAAGTAACCGTTCTGCGCATACAGATACACGCTTTAGCGAGTGACACAAAAATTTGTTGTCAGGTCCTAAATGTTTGACCCGGCATGATGGTTTATTACGAATAGAAGGGCTCGGACAGCGAGCGTCGCAGTTGGTAATAGAAATATAGAGGTTTAAAGTGTTTAATAAAGGTTATCGCGATAAGTAACTAAGAAAAGAAGTAACGAAAAAGGACAGGGAGGAAGCGCAGAAACAGACAGAACAGGTATCAGAGTTCAGAGCAGAGTTCACAGGTGTCGTTTACTGGAAGGAAGGCGAGGAGGACGCGCGGCTTTATAGCAGGCGGCTGTACAGCGGTACAGAACGTTATAGAAGAACAGAGAACTTGTGTCAGAGGTTCGGCGAGATAAGATAAGACGGAGCGGCGATTTTAGGAAATGCGCCACGCGGGAATAACTCTGGGAATACCGTTATCAGTGACAATCCCTGGTCCGGGGTCAAAACGGTCCGATATCCCGTGATTATCAGACGGAGCGGTTTGCAGTTGATCACCGGCAGGCTCAGCAGGCGGCGTTTCAGTTGGTTCACCAACAAATTTATAACTTAAAATTAAGTGCGAATGCGCAATTAACAGATCTCTTGGTGTAGTTGGTTATCACGTACGCCTCACACGCGTAAGGTCGCCAGTTCGAGCCTGGCAGAGATCATCTCTTTTGCAAGTTGTCTATTCCATAATTGGACACTACTCATTTTCGATATACATTTTGGCTACTGTCATGGCATATATTAATTTTTTCTTAAAACACTAAAATTTTCATTAGAAACATTTTGTTGGTTTGTACATTTCAATATCTTTATACTATTCATTGTATCTTTGGATTAGAGCCAGACCTTACGTTTAAACTTATAATAAATTTATTTGCTAAACAATGTAAGAGCGAAAGAGACAAATGAAAACTCTGTGTTTTTCCCCGCCCGGGGTCGGTTTATAAATCCTCCCTAACTTCCATCCTTTCTTCGTTATGCACCAGCCTCCCGGATTACCTTGATCGTTGTCTTGATCTAAGGTGCCCATGATAATTGTTTCTTGACAGCGCTAATCTAAAATTCTTTGATGCAAAAATTACCAAAAATAAACGTCAGCTACAGGATTTGAACCTGTGCGGGCAACGCCCAACAGATTTCTAGTCTGTCGCCTTAACCACTCGGCCAAACTGACCTTAAAGAATTTAACTAATTTAATGCTCTATTTTAAAACAATTAATCTACAATTAAATAATCCTTAAAATATTGTTGTGTTACTGCTTTCCTACATTGTGATATTTATAACCAACTTTTTTTTACATGTTTTTAACCAATTTTTAATACAGTGTTTGGCATTTGTGAAAGAGCCTTTATTACTATGCTGATATCTTTACTACAATAGTAGGTAATATAATCAAATGCTTACTTTCTGGCATAAAACTTCAACTCTCACATACTTCACTGTTTTAATAACACATGTTTGACACACTTGTAATCAAAAAAAATGAAACTGCTGGTTAACAGTAATCAACCAGTAGTTTTACCTAGAGCTAGACAAGCTTGATCAACATGGCAGGCTTGTCTTTTCTTAGGTTTTCCCTTTTAACTCTGTATTTTTCTTTTATTTTAAAAGTATGTGTACAAATCAGCAATACACCCAATGCACATTTGACTGTTCCTAACCTCATGTTGCTAATATTTACCACTTCTATATTTTATATAGTGTCAGGAAAAAGTGAATAAGAGTTTTTGAATT